ACCCCAGATCAGCTCTTGAAAATCCAAACCCTAGAGTTTGAGCTCCAAATCCAAATCATCATCCCTTTGCTAGGAAGTCACTTCCTCACCTGCACCATTCCAATTAGTAGTATCATTATTTTCCCACTCACCTAGATAATCTCTTGTGACGTTAATAAAACCCTGTTCGGCCTCCTTCAGCTGATTATCCACTTCTCATGACCTAATCATTGCAAAAGCAACCTCATGAAAATAATTATAGCATCAAGACTTGTAGATGTCAGTAGGCCTAAAGTAGAGTGGACTATCCAATGATAACCCCATCCAGCTACATTCACCTCCAGCACCAGGTAGGCACCGGCAGCAGCTTGCTGGACCTTCGCTAGAGCAGCAGCAACATAGGGGATACTAACATAGGTTCCAATGGCATCTGCGAGTCTCCTCATGAGCTGATTAGTTTGGTATCGGTGGGCGTTTTGGTGGCCACCTAAGGCCTTGACCGGACGAGAAACCTTTCTCACAATGGGTGCACTTGAAGAGATATTTTTTGCCAGAGTTGGCCATGCTGTCTTCAGAGTTGGTGGCACCGTTTGACATGGTGATTGGTTTGGACAATGACAACAAGGTAAATTGAGAGAGAGAGAGAGAGAGAGAGAGAGAGAGAGAGAGAGAGAGAGAGAGAGAGAGAGAGATGGTTTGGAGGAAGTAGTGCAAATGAGGGGTTTATAAGGGAGTGAAAACAGGACTTGAAGTTGGATTCAATTAAAGTTTCATGAATGAACTTAAATGTAGTGAGATTTTGTGAATAAGGGACAGATTTGGTCTTGTGAGAGCTTTATGTATGTGCAGATTTAGGGCTTATGGGACTTGGATTACGAGAATTTTTTTTAAGCAATCTAGACAATCACACTGACACAAAACTGAGCGCAATGACGTTCTAGGATTCACATAGCCGACCCCACTTAATAGGAAAAAAATTTGTTGTTGTTGTTGTAGAAAATCACACAGTTTTAGTTCCTTGTTTCCTTGTTTTCAGACATTTTTTATTCTTCTGTTCACCACTCCGAAAAGTGTGCCTTGATGTATATAAATTGTGTCAAATTGTGAACCCTTTTGAACCTCAACTTTCTTAAAACCCACATAGGTTAAGTAACGAAACGTATATAAATTAGAAGATAAATACAACACTTACATACATATGTCTGTACTTTCCTTAACCGGTAGTTTTTGGTATGAAAATGTATATTCACTGGTGAAACATCCAGGGCAAAATTATATGTCTGTATTTCACATATGCGCTAGCCAGAAACATAGTGAGATTTAATTTGACTTAATATACCTTGGTGGATAGGGCCTTCGTCTTCACTTGCTACTTCCCGGTTCAAACCTTCTCTCCTCCTCTTAGTACAGCTTAGAGTAATAATATTGATTTTAATAATAAAAAAAAACTTCAGATATGAATGTAATTTTTGGAGCATTAATTATGTCGTCAATTGTGCCTTTATGTTCTACACTAATATATTGCATCCAAAAAGTTTAGATAATCAATCATTTTGTCAGTGCGTTGTTGCATTTCATCTGATACATATATGCACCCACAATATTTGGATGATTTATTTATTTTGTTAGTAATGCGTCTCTTAGTTTTCGACAATAATATAATACGCAGTTTACACTTTTAGAGAATAAGTTATTTTGTCGGTGCATTGACATGTTGTTTCAGTGCATTGTCGCATAGCGCCCGATACGCCCGATACTTATATACTACACTTGAAACTTTTTGAACACTAATTATTTTGTTCGTGCATTGTCGCACATTTTTTGACACTAATCTAGTACTCCACCCAAAAAATTTGGAAAATTAATTATTTTAAAAGGTTGCAGCAGTTCGTCTAACAATAACGTATCTATGCTGCACATAAAATCTATCATACAACAGCTAACAATACTGCATGTGAAATTTATGATATTAACATTGAAAATACATATTTATCACTAACAGTATTTGAAAATATTTTCACTAGTTGATTCATTCAAGGACCTTAATTATTAAAGGAAGAAACTAATTTTCGACGATAATTTCATTGTTTTTTTTTTTTTTTTATCTAACTTAACTGAAACTCGGACTAAATCTTCACATTGGATATCTAGGTTGAATCTAGAAGCTATTACCTATATATATGGGTTATTTTAATGACAGTCCACAATTTGTTCAATAGAGTTCTGCTCTCTTAAGATCTTTTTTTTAGGACTTATAAAGGAGCAAATTCATATTAACCACAAGATTATATTAGTTTAGATTCAAATTAAGGCTTAAAAGTTTGACAACTTAATAAACCAAAACTTAAAATCTATGAACCATTTGAAAACTCATTTTCTTGTTTTGGTTTATTATTAAGTTGTCAAATATTTTAAGCCTTTAGATCCAAACTAATATCATCTTGTGGCTAATACACATTTGGTCCTCACACGTCCTCAAAATGAACACCTTAAAAGAGCAGAACTATTGTTCAACATATTTCCAACTGAAAACACTCCCAATTACTTTAGCTAAGTAATTATAATATATACCCACCTACTAACTAACTTACCCACACCACCCTGACACTCACCCTTCCATATAATACCTGGATCTTTTATCCCAAAAGCACAAACTGTCTTCACCATGAAACGATTAAATTAGCCCGTGAAAATTTTCAAGAACTTTACCTTTGGTAACAAAACAATATTGCTGCTAAATTATCTATAATTAGTAGCGAATATGACTGGTTGCCTAAAGTAATTAAGATCATTCTTAGGCGCCAAATTATCAAGAATCTAATCTCATGGAAATATATGTGCTTGATTAATCTTGAAAATGTGCCAGAAATGACAAATTAAAACTAGGGCACAATTAGCCTCCTCAAAAATGTGGTTTATCAATCTTGAAAACCATTTTTCTGAACAAACAAATGTTTTTTGCAAAATAAGTGAGAACTAGAGGTGGTGCCGTAAATCACTTTTGCCCGGCAGAGTTAACAACAAAAAATGATGGTCGAAACCTCCGCTAACTACCGAAGCAAATTACCAGTAAGACTGCATCCAGCTTAATTTACAGTCAACTTTATAACTAATTATGTCCGAATAATTACTTCTGTGAAGCCATATAAGTAAAGAACCGACATACAGGTGCGCACAAATCAATATGATGAAAGAGCAGTTACAAACTTTCAAATACAAAGACTTGACATATAAAGACTTAACATATATTCCATGATGTCTCACAATTACATTTTGAATTCATGGAGGACATAACCTCTTATAAGCATCAGTGGCGACAACACAAGAGAAACGGAAAACACACATACAGTACTAGAATTGGAAATAACCTAAACTTTTAAAGCTAGTACTCTTCTCTCTCTCCCTGGCTACATGGCGACAATTTATCCACACTATATGTATTTGAGCTTGAGATTATGCAGATATCAGCTCCCTAAAGTTTATTTTATTTTTCTAAATTAGGTTTTGTTTTACTTAATTATTACCTCTAGACAAACCTTAGCATATAAAGGATGCATATCTCTTAGGAAACAGAGAGACAGAGGGAAGAATCGAATAAATTGAACTTATTGGGGTTTGAGATTTAAGTCCAGCTCATCAGTCTTGGAAGTACCAGTTTTACCACTACCTCCACAAATCGAGTCTAAACCAGAACCAGACACCTGCATGTCATCACTTCCTATTGCCAAGCTCAGGGTCACATTAGGCATCCCCACTTTCAAATCATTATCATCATCAACATACTTAACCTTCTTGTTGTGACGATCAGCCTCCGCATCATCATTATCATCATGAACACGGTCGTTTTTTTTAGATCCACAAGCACCTGCATCACCAGCTCCTGATCCAAACCCTACCCCGGTCATTTTCGGATTACAATCCCCCGCCATTCCCATGAAATGGAGGTACTTTTCTGCACTTGGAGTCGTAGTTCTGCTGTTGTCGGTGATGAAATCATCGTCGCAAGCTGGAGGTGCCCATCTCAAGGGCTCAGGTGACAACACGTATACCTTGAAGCTGTCGTTTTCTTCAGTACAGCTGGAGCTGTGAGCTGAGGATCTGGAATTGTTGGACATGGAACTGTTTGACATCTTTTTCTTAAGATGGGAAAAAAATGGAGGCAAGAAGAAGAAGGGAGAGAGGAAAGAGAGGTGATGAGCAATGGAGCTTGTTGGTAGCACCAAGTGAAGAGGAGGAGAGAGGGTATATATAGGGGAGAAATAGGGTTAATTTTGTTGAGAGCATGAATCCTACATCAGGCAAAGAAGGGACCTTGCATGTGCTTATATGTAAATTGGAAAGGAATCTAACTGAAAGTTGAGGATGTCGTATGTCCTTAGATTTCTCTAAGTCACGCATTTCTTAAGTCATACATGTAACGCATACGAGCTTATTAACCAGCTTACTATACATATGTCCTCGGAGTGGTGTGAAATTAATATGCCACCTTTCGTTGCATATTCCTATAAGACGGATACAAAGGAAGAAGATAAATACAACTCTTATGTGTTTGTACTTTCCTTAACGTTATAGTCTAGTGCTGGTAGGAAATGTATAAGCTGATCCAGTTATTTTGTTAGAGATACTAGTAAACAAAAGGCTTTGGGCGACGTAGGACCTTCGTCGCGCAAAGTCAAAAAAACGTCGCGCAAAACGTAGGACAACGAACCCGCGTCGCGCACCGACCGTCGCGTCAAGGCAGTGAAGGAAGGGTTTGCGCGACGCAGAAGTGACCTACGTCGCTCAAAACCACTTCGCGCGACGTAGGTCTTCGTCGCGCAAAACCACTTAGCACGACGTAGGTCTATGTCGCGCAAAACGTAGGACAACGAACCTGCGTCGCGCACCGACCGTCGCGTCAAGGTAGTGAAGGAAGGGTTTGCGCGACGCAGAAGTGATATACGTCGCGCAAAACCACTTAGCACGACGTAGGTCTTCGTCGCGCAAAACCACTTAGCGCGACGTAAACCTTCGTCGCGCAAAACCGGAATGGTGGAGAAGTGTCTTTGAGTCTCGAGCTTTCTTGCCAGCAACAGATTTCTTCTGTTAATCATACAATATAAATGTTAGTGCGACTATTTGAAATAAATTATTAAAAAAAGCTTAAAAAATAACAAACAGTAAATTATTATTAAAGTATTTTGTACATACTACAAATTTTGGGTCCGTAAAATGTTTGCAGAGCCACTCTCAATCCTCCAGCCGGTCCTTCAACTCAGCTGGGTAACCCTGTAGACGAGCAATCTCCGGATCATCCCATAGCTGAAAATGCTTGTGAAGAGCGCACTTCCAATCTTTGTACCGGTTTGCTAAGGTCTCCTCTAAGTAGGCACTGACCTCAGGGGATATGTCCTTAAGATCAAAATTGACCTACAAATATGAAAAACAATAAAATAAATTTAATAATATTTGTAAACAAAAAAAAATGATAAAGGCTAAAAATTAATATACTAACCGTCAACTTGTCTCGCACCAGGTCCTTCGTCTCCTCAGGAATTTGTGCCCAACTCGTCCACTGCATAGGACAACAATACCGAATAACAAAACCACAGCTATTAACGACGCTGCTATGCTGCTGTGAGGTAGCCGCTCCACGATGTCGCGAGTCATACGCAATCTTGATCAAGGAGGCGGACAAACGTACGGCATGTGCCTCCTTCAGCATTCGATTGGGGCCCCTGGTGTTTTTTTTAGCTGCCAAAAAAAACTTAAATGGTAAAAACCCTAAGCTTAAATTTGTACAGAAAATTCGGCAAAACCTCCCTTAATCATAAAAGTACCTTAAAACAGTAATTAACAACCCACAACACATTTTCACAATCATAAAAGTAATAGTTTTAAAATGAAAAAAAAAACAGTAAAAGTTAATAAACTATGCAAAATATATACTCGGCTAAAATACTACTCTAGTAAAAGTTAAGATGGACCATCCACAAATAAAGAAACTCATATTGTAAAGAAGCGATGAGCGAGAGGGAAGGCATTTAAAAAAAAAAATTATTATTAAATATACTAAGAATGTAATAAAATTGCAAAAATCGCAAAAATCGTAAAAAACAAACATTCAAAAATCGCAAAAATCGCCAAAAATCACAATAACAACAATATAGTTTATACCAGCATGAGTCCGGATCTCAATTCAATTAAAGTAACAAATAAAAAAAACAAATATTCAGAGATCAAGTAAGGGGACAAACATTTTCGACGGATATAAACAAAAAATCACGATTTAACAGTAGTTTTAACTCCGATTTTGATGATTTTTTACGGCTACACTCCTTGACCCTATATGAATACAATGAACTAATTCAATCGTCAATTTAAAACATTTACACAAGTGGATACCACAAAATCATATGTTATAAACGGGACAAAAAATCGCAAACTTGTTTGTATATGTGTTGAGATCGCATACGCCAAAAATCGCAAAAAACAAACCTTCAGAGATCAAGTAACGGGACAAAAAATTTCGACGGTTATAAACGAAAAAAATCATGATTTAACGGTTATTTTAACTCCGATTTTGATGATTTTTTACAGCTACACTCCTAGATCCTATATGAATACAGCGAACTGATTCGATCATCAATTTAAAATATTTACACAAGTGGATACCACAAAATCTTCTGTTATACTTGATGAAAGTAAAACTAAAATCTAAGTGTTAGGGAATCTAACGTTTTAATGAGATACGCATTGTACTAAACTAGTTTCAACGATCCAACCGTCAAACTTGTTTTTATATGCATCGAGATCGTATACGCCAAAAATCGCAAAAAAAAACCTTCAGATATCAAGTAACGGGACAAACCTTTTCGACGGTTATAAAAGAAAAAATTCATGATTTAACGGTTATTTTAACTTCGATTTTGATGATTTTTTACAGCTACACTCCTGGATCCTATATGAATACAAGGAATTGATTCGATCGTCAATTTAAAATATTTACACAAGTGGATACCACAAATCTTCTGTTACACTTAATGAAAGTATAAATAAACTCTAAGTGTTAGTGAATGTATCGTTTTGATGGGAAACGCATTGTACGAAACTAGTTTCAATGATCCAACCGTCAAACTTGTTTTTATATGCTTCGAGATTGTGTACGCCAAAACTCGCAAAAAAAAAACATTCAGAGATCAAGTAACGAGAAAAAAATTTTCGACGGTTATAAACGAAAAATCACGATTTAACGGTAGTTTTAACTCCGATTTTGATGATTTTTTTATAGCTACACTCCTTGATCCTATATGGATACAATGAACTAATTCGATTGTCAGTTTAAAACATTTACACAATTGGATACCACAAAAGAAAAAGGCAATGAAAGAACCCCAAAAGAAAAAGGCAAAAAAAAAAAAAAAAAAAAAAAACACTTTGCGCGACATAGGTACCCTTGCGTCGCGCAAAACAACTTTGCTCGACGTAAGGGTACCTACGTCGCTCAAAACAACTTTGCGCGACGAATACATACGTCGCGCAAAACAACTTTGCGCAACGCAAGGGTACCTACGTCGCGCAAAACATCTTTGCGCGACGTCTGTTCACCTACGTCGCCCAAAGTTAGGAAAAAAAGTGATAAAGCATATTGGTTTGGCGCCAAAACTTTTCACGTAGGGTTACCTTCGTCGCGCAAAACAGCTTTGCACGACGCCAGGCTTCGTCGCGCAAAGTGTCGTTGCGCAAAGTTAGTTTACGCGACGTTTTCTGTTTAGCGTCGCGCAAAGTATGTTTGCGCGACGAAATTTGCTACGTCGCACAAGATTCCGTCGCGCAAACATGTTTTTGTACTAGTGATATAAGTTAGAATTTAGAGAGAAAAGTGTTTAGAGAGTTTTTGGAGTTTTGCAAGAGTGTGGACCTAGGTTTTTAGAGAACATGGGGTTCAATATATATAGCATGGCCGGTCCCCTTTTTGAGAAAAGGTGGCCGGCCCTTTGGGGTATTGTGTGAAATGGGTGATTTAATTGGTAATTAATGGATTAATTAGGAATAAATCCATTAATTAGTCAATTGACTCAATTTATATGGAATGTTTTGAAGGTTATGAAATAATTACATTGTGGAAAATATAGGATGAGGATGGATGAAATAACTTTGAATTTGTTACCTATTTTGGGCATTTTTGACTTGATTGAGGGATGATTGTCCACTGCTCGGGCGTAGGAATCCCGATGTGCCTCGAGGGTAATTTTGTCATTTTTACCCAAAAATCCATGTGTCGCTTTTTGATTATTTTTGTCTCCACAAATGCCCCCACACATGTTGGGCTGCTCGCAAGAAAGGGCAGTAGGTGTAGAGCTCTTCTTGCTTGAGGAAACTAAGATTGTTTCCTATTTTGATGTTGATTCCTTCTTTAATTGGAAATTAGATCCTTCTAGGAATGAGAAATAAATTTCTCTCAAAGCCTATTTAAGTCCAACTTAAGTGGGTTATTAAATCAACTTTGGAAGGCAATTTATTATACCTTACAAGAGAGAGAGAGAGCTTAGAGGATATTTGTTCCCTCTTCTCTAGCAATCTTCTACATCTTGCCCGTGCAAAGGATCGTCTTCTCCGCGCCACACCGAAGTAAGAAAAAATTAATTTTCCTTGTCTTGTTCTTGGATAGTGCTGTCACGGGCCAGCCGTCAGGTTGGTGCAGGACGTCGACTGGCAGGGGCCAGAAGTCGGTTCGGCATGGGCCAATGAGGTGTTGTGGCAGGGACCACTGCTTGGGCCGCTTGGCTTGGCTAGTGCCAAGGGTAGCGTGCGCGGTTAAGGCCATAGATTGAGACGCTATGGCACAGTGCTAGGCAAGTTGCATGGTTCTTGTCCTTTGGGTTCTTGGTCCTGATGCGGGCCAGGCCAGCGATTGAGAGAAATGAAAAGGTCACGGGCCTTATGGGCTGCTAGAATGCTGGGCATGCAGGCTTCATACCAGCTGGTCCAAGAGAAAAAAATGAAGGAAACGCCAGTATGGGTTGAGCTCCCCTGTTGAGTACCGTGAATAGAGTTGACTGCTTAATTCTATTCGCAAGGAGAAATGTGGGCTGTTCCCGAGAGAAGGTAAAGAGGATCGAGGTAGATGTATTGGCTCGTCTGAACGTTGTCGTGGAGCCTATTATGAATAAAGGTGGAAAGAAGAGATATTCCCCACCTGCTCAAGAGATGCCGATTGAGAAAACTGAAGACTTCTTCCGCTGCTTGTGAGGGTCTGCCTGTTGCCGAGAGTCTTGTGATTGACATAACTTCTTCCAATGGGAAGAAAAATGAGGCTGTTATCTGAGTATATGGTGTTTGCCATGTCGAGAATGGCATGTACAATTGTTGATAGTATTGCTCAGTGTAGAGGTCTTGCCATGCCCCTAGTGCCGAAGTCTATGCCAAGACGTCCGTTGGGAACAAAGTCCGGTTCTCATTCGGAAAGGCTTGCTATTATGAAGAGCAATAAGGTGGACTTTGCTACTAAAGTGGCACTAAGGCCCATTCCCTTTGCTGCTGAGATTGATTCGCCTACCAAGGATGAGATTGTTCACGTGGGCAGCTGTGAGAAATTCACTAAGCCTGCTTCTAGGGAGGTTGCTGAGATATGTGTGCTCTTAAAACCAGATCTGCTTGAAGACATGGATGCTTGTGCCAAGTTTGTTGATTGCGTTTAGAAAGGTTTGTTTGCCCAAGTTCTTTTGCGAATCATACGACCCAATATAGAACAATTGCTCTGCTTGCTATAATACAAACATAGCAAGGTTGCCAAGTAGGTGGCGAAGACTATGGCAGTTGAAGTTTATTCCTCGACCGAGGAGATTAAGAGGTTGGATTCTTAGCTCATTACTTTGAAGGGGTTTAATATTTCTGCCTCCATTTCTCTGCAACTTGAGACCGCTTGCCAAGATATTATTGACTTGAAGACTAAGCTTGACGCGATCCAAGTTAAGTATAAAAGTGTAGAGAAGGAGATTAGATGTTACATACCTCAGATTCAAGATCTTGAGTTTGCAGTTTCTGAGCTTCATTTCGCTGTTTATGCAAAGGATGAAAAGTTGATTACTTCTTATAATCAAGTGATCCACTTCAAGAGAGTCGTCGATAGGCTTGAAACCTAAGTGTTGGAACTTCAAGGTGTACTGAAAATCAATGAAAGTCTGAAGAAGGAAGTGGATGAGTTGCAGTGCATCCATGTTGGTTTGCTCGAGAAGGATGAGTAGCTGAAGGGTGAGAAGGATGAGCTCGAGGTTTCGAGACCTTCTCTATTTCTCCGGAATACTTGCTTGCTTTTACTTTTAAGGTTTCCATTGGTGAAGTAGTTTGAGAAGTTAGTGCCCAGGCTGGGGCAGCCAAGGGTGAAGTGTTGAATGATGTCACTGCTAAGAGCGTCATTGCTGCTGAAGATGTGGCGACTGAGTAGTCGTGGGATGTCCAAGCTGTTGAAGTATAGCCTTCTAGGTGGCCTTTAGGATTTTCTTTGTTTTTCCTTGTAGCTCTTGTTTTGCTTGAACTTCTTCGGCCTTTGCTAGTTG